ATATAAAACTCTAGTGACCAGGTTTTAGATTATGTTGCAGGAGGCAGCCCTTCAACTTAGTTGCTCCCTTCAATGAAAATTTCTATGTGCATGTATCTCAAATGGATGTACTCCAACTTGCATATTCTTTGGAATACAAATGCCATTTTCACCATATTTTGCTTAATCTATTTGTGGGATCTTTTTTTTTTTTTAAAGATTTTATTTATCTGACAGAGAGAGACACAGCAAGAGAGGGAACACAAGCAAGGGGAGTGGGAGAGGGAGAAGCAGGCTTCCCGCGGAGCAGGGAGCTTGATGTGGGCCTCGATCCTAGGACCCTGGGATCATGACCTGAGCCGAAGGCAGACACTTAACGACTGAGCCACCCAGGCACCCCTATTTGTGGGATCTCTTAATATGTTAGGGAAACACAACTTTTATTCATGATCTAAGTTCTAAATAGTTTTTTTTTTTTAATTTTACTTATGGTGGTGTTTACTATAAAAAAGTAATAGTTTTATGTTGTCAAGTGCATCAATCCTTTAAGATTGCTAGATTTTGTGTCATAGTTACAAAAGCCTTTTCCCAAGTTTCTAAAATTGTTCTCCCATGTTTTCTTCTAGTGCTTTATAATTTTGCTTTTTATCCTTTTAAGCCTTTTTAAAGAAAAAGAAATTTGAGCCATTTGGAATGTATTCTGGTATAAGCTTTTTCAGGTGCTTAAAGTTGATCCCCAAACCAGCTATTGAATAGTCCATTTTCTTTCACTGATTTGAGATGCCGGCTTTATTGCATAATAAATTTCCGTATGCATATTGATCTGTTCCTGGATTTTTTCATTCTCTTCCTTTGCTCATCCATTCATCAATGAATACTGTTTTAAAATATTTAGGTTTTATAATGTTTTAATATCTAAACTTAAAATTTTTTTTGAATATTTCTGCTCATTTACTTTTCCATTTTAATCTTAGAATCATTTTGTCCAATTAAAAAATTCTGTCAGTGTTTTTATTGGGAGCACATTAAATTTACTGGTTAGCTTAAGCAGAACTACCATTATAATACCAGATGTAGTATTTTATGTTCAGTGTACTTTTGTGTTTATTTTGAGAATTTAAAAATTTTGCTCACATAGTTCTTTACACTTCCTGTTAGGTTAGTTCCAAGATATTTTATCTTTTTTTTTTTTTAAGATTTTATTTATTTGACAGAGAGAGAGAGAGCGAGAGCAGGAACACAAGCAGGGGAGTAGGAGAGGGAGAAGCAGGCTTCCTGCTGAGTAGGGAGCCCGATGCGGGGCTCAAGCCCAGGCTCCGTCCCAGGACCCTGGGATCATGACCTGAGCCGAAGGCAGACGCTTAACGACTGAGCCACCCAGGCACCCCAGGATATTTTATCTTTTTAAATCCTGTTATAAATTGATCCTTTTCTTTCATTATGGTGTCAATGCTCTTTGTATGAAACTATTAATTTATGAGTATTCATGTTGTATGCCACTATGTTATTAAATTTTTACTTGTTTCCCCATGAGATTTTCAGGTATATGAACATATAATCTATAAATAGTGATAACTTTAACCTCCTTTTTCTACTTTTATATCTCTAGTTTCTTTTTCTGATTTAATTGTGTTTTTTAGTGCTTTCAAAAACCTATTAAGTGATAATAATGAACATTGCTGTTCTGGTTAAAAATATGTCAAGTTCTTTGACATTTATCCTTCAAAAGATGGAGACAAATCCTCTCTCTCTCTTTGTTTTAAAGATTTTATTTAGTTATTTGACAGAGAGAGAGAGAGAGAGCACAAGCAGGGGGAGCTGCTGAGGGAGAGGGAGAAGCAGGCTCCCCACTGAGTAGGGAGCCCGACGTGGGGCTCTATCCCAGAGCGTGGGATCATGACCCGCGAGCTGAAGGCAGATGCTTAACCGACTGAGCCACCCAGGTGCCCCAACAAATTCTCTTCTTGAGTGGAGGCTAGATGGAGTGACTTGCTTGTATGGAGCAGCAATAAAGTAGAAGGGATAATGTGTGACTTTGGAGACCAGGTCATAAAAGGCAGTGCAGCCTCCTTTCTCTGTCTTGGTTTACTTACTCTGGGGAGAGGGGCGCGGTGCGGTGCCAGATGCCATGTTTTGAAGACACTCAGGCAGCCCTGTGGTCCCAAATGAGGCACTGAGGTTTCTGGCCAACAGTCATGCAAGTAAGCTTGAAAATGGATCCTCCTGCCCCAGGTAAGCCCTCAGATAACTGTAGCTCCAGCTGATATCCTGACTGTAACCTTAAGAGAAACCTGAGCCAGAACAATGCCGCAAAGCTTGCTCCTCAGATACGTGTTGGTAAAGATTTTATTTATTGGAGTAGATTATAAATTGATTCCCAAAAACCCACAAAGCTTAAAAATGAATTGTATCAGTTTGGCCTAAAAAGGACAACGAGAGTACCACGTGAAAAGAGTACTTCAGACCCCTGCACAACTACGGATGGAAAACAGCTGAGAAAACTACTGAGTTGTAAACATGGGCTACTTTTTAAGGAACTGGAAGGAAAGTCAGAGGGCGGAATCAAGAGTCCAGCGGATGGAGATAAGAGCCACTGAGTATTCCCAGGAAGTATGATGAAGTCCTAAGCAAGGAACTGGCAACATTTACCCAACTGGATTTTAGAATGTCTATGATCTAGTGTGCCTTCTATTCCCCTTTGAAGAAAAATGTCAATAGAGGTAAGTTTCCTGTGCCTCTCACATTATTGCCTGTGAAGTGTGTGGTAGTGGCTGGGGCAGATCATTTGTCTTTTTAACTCACAGATCTTCATCCAGAGGAGCCACTTGAAAGACCCACTTAATGCACACCCGAAGAACTGCAGCCAAAGAGCCTCATCTGTTCCAGGACCTCACAAAATCCCGAACCTTAATGTTGTAATGGGATGAGAACTTTGCAGGGGTCTGGGCAGGAGGTGAGTGTTTACTGCATGTGGAAAGAGTATACAACATTTGTGGCCAGATGGTGGATTTTGGAAGTTTTAAAACACGGCCCCCCCAAACTATTTAACTTTCCTCCCATCAATCTTATTCTATGGCTGCTTCACTAATACAGTACAGAATAAAGAGTCTGTGTCAGTTTCTGGTCCCAGGCCTTCAGGGTTAAAGAAAAAAATATTCAGTGTCACTTGTTAAAAATGGCAAGACAGACTTTACTCAGGACCATTACAATAGGTATTAAGGACCACACCAACACAATTTTGCAGTGGAGATTAGGCTCAACTCCAAATACAGCATGGCTAAGTGGGAATCTGGAGCCAAGGAGCAAGTTGGGGGTGAGTGAATGTAAAGTTACTATGAAGAAATTACTAGGAGGTAAGGCGGGGTTGTTGTGGCCGGTACCTAACAGGATTCTTTTGAAGACCCGCCAGGGTGATCAGACATCACCTGGGGGATGGCTGAGGCTAAGGGACCTGAGCAGATAAGGAGGTAGAGGTTTCTTGCTAAAACTGAATTTTACAAGAAAGTGCACAGATGGGTCTAGGAGAAGATTTGGAGTCTGACTAAAGTTTGGTCAAACAAAGAATCTTTGTCATTAAGAAACCAGCAATTTCCACTTCCTGTTGTTTGAGACACTTGCTTTAGGAACCCAGCTGCCCCGCTGACAGGAAGTCAAGACGACACGGAGAGGCCATTGTGTAGGCATTCCAGCAACCCCAATTGAGGTTCCAGTGGATAGCCAACATGAAGCAATAAAACACGTTGAGTGGGGAAGCCCTTGAGATGACTTTAGCCCCAGCTATGCCACGCCACCCACAGGAGAGACCCTGAACGAGAACCATCTAGCTAAGCCCAGTGAACCTCCAGAACCATGAGCGATGACAATAACATGATTGCTGGATGTTACTGCGACTGAAACCCCAGCTTAGCCCAGGCTCGCCATTATGCTCACTGCAATCTGCAACTGGGAGACAGCCGGAGCCCTTTACAGGAGCGTTGATTGGCCTACACCCACGTCAATCAAGATTTTCTGCCTAATAGGCTTTTCAGCCCCCAGGCACCCCCCCCGCCCCGCCCCGCCCCAACCGATCTTTCCATCTGTAGTTTCGGCAAAACCCAGAGACTATCTGGAAAGACCACAAGGGAGCAAAGCCCATCCAGGAGCGGCGTTTAGGGCGGCTTCCTCCGGTGCGGTCCAATGAACTCTTTCTTTTGGCAGCCAATTCCGGCCTCGAGACCGCCCAAGAGGAAGAACGTTTTGATTGGTTGTTTAGTAGAGGGGCACAGAGACTCACGGGAGCCTCGAGGAAGCACTTGCCATTATTGTCCAGTTCGCCTGTCAATCAGCTCGCCTTTCTGGAGGGGCGGAAACTGGCTGCCCAGCGGGCACCACCTCTTCCTGGGCTGGCGTGCGGGGAGGCGATGGGCCGCAGGGGCTGCGAATCGGCCGCGTGGGCGGGGCAGCGCTACCCGGCCTGAACAGTTTCTCGGTCGTGAAGCGTCGGGAGTTTCCCGAAGCGCCGGGCCGTGCGGGGCGGGCCCGGGCGAGGGGCGAAAGCCCGGGTGGGGGCGGGGCCGGGGCGGGGCCGGAGGAGGCGGAAGCGGCGAGAGAGCTCAGGCCGCAGCCATATAGGAGCCTGCGTCCGGGCCGGCGGAGCGGCGGCGGCGGGGTTGGCCGGGGTGGCGGGACCCTAGTACCTGGGCGGGTGGGCCGAGGGCCGGGGTCGAGACCGGGGATCGGGTGACTGGCGGGCTGAGCTCCCGCCCCCGCGCAGTGCCGGGGAGGATGCGGCCGGGGGCTCCGGGGCGGGGCGGACGGCG